AATACTTTATAATTTTATTTCTATAAATAAAAAATAATTACTCTAAATTAATCAAGTAAAGAAGACTTTTATTAATTAAAAAACTCCTAAGTTTCATACATTGGGGCATTTCTTAACTAACACAATCTAATGATGCGAAGTAGATGCACGTGCAACATTGGAGCATGTTCTTCTGCTATGACCAGGGGTATGACAATATGAACATTTTTTAATCCTACTTTGATTTTCTGTAATATCCATCCCAGTTCTTATACGACTTGATTTTGGTCAGCCCTTTGAAATTCTTTTCATTTTTGGATTTGCACACAAAGTAGGTCCTGCGTATGTTGGTCAATATTCTTCATTTCGCAACAACCAAAATTATGTTTCGTATACCTTTGAAACTTGTTGTAAGGTATACACTGGATGAATGTAGTTGTTGAAGTCATGGTGTGCATGCTTGCATGCAACAAGAACATGTGAACAAGGCATGTGAAATTTCTGAAATTTTTCACAGTCACACCACAACTCATCAAGGCGAATTGCAAACTTCCCTGCTGGTTGAACTTCACGCGGGTTTTGTATTTCTTCTACTAGAAATTTTGTGGTAGATCTGTCAAAAGTTATGACCCTATGCATGTTTGCCTGTGTTTGTGCTTCCTCTAAATTTTTGACCAAAATTTCAGAGTATACATGACCAACATTGATCATGACATCTATCTGCCTCCCTCTTTCAATGAAAAATTTGTTGCAGCGGGTGTACGTTACATTGACCATGGAGCAAATAAGTAGATTTCTTGTTTTTTTCAAAACAGAGTTGATAGAATCTGCTATGTTGGTCGTCATGTGACCCCAACGCCGTCCATTGTCCCATGCAAGTGCCCATTTTTCTCTAGGTATCTCATCCAATCAATTAGCTGCTTTTATGTCACATTGCCTCAAGATGTTGTAATAATAGTATAATCGTGGTTCAATCATCCCATATACTATAACAATATTAAAAAAACATAGTTAATATAAATATTTATTAGCAATAGTTAAATAATGAATAAATTGTAACAAATTTGAAGAAAAGGAATTACCCATATTTACAACATCTTTCCTTTGTGCAGTATTTTTGAAACGTCTCATAAAATTCTGTGCAATGTGTCTAATGCAATATACATGCACTGAATTATTTTCTGTCCATCCGCTTCTATTTCTCATGTATGCACTTCTAATGGATTCATGTTGTTCTGATATGAGGCATAATCCTTGTTGGGGTGTGACATATCTTTGGAGGGTTTTTAAGAAAAAAAACCAGGCATCACTTGTTTCACCTTCAACCACTGCAAACACAATAGTGAGGATTTTGTTGCGGTCATCTTGTGCTACTGCAGCCAACAAGGTACCTCTATATTTTTCGTACAGAAAAGTTTCGTCCACTTGAACAATGAGCTTGTAATGAATAAATCCATCTATGCATGACCTAAACATCCAAAAAACACGCTTAAAAATATTTGAATTTTGTTGAAGGACCTCACCTTGGTAAGCTGGTTGTGACTGCAGTTTGTAGATGAATCCGAGAACAAATTGTTGCATGGCTTATAACAAACAAGGCAACTTCTTATACGAATCCTCCCAATTGTCGTAGATGGTCTCCACTGCCTTTTGTTTGGCCAGTCAGACCTTCCTGTATGTTATAGTGTAACTCGTTGTTAATTGGATGTGGGCTATGATTGTGGAGATTGGTGTTGACGAATCAACATCAATTATTTAACCAATTGTTTAGGAAATCATTTTATATCCCAACTTGTTGTAGTCTTGGCTAATTAATGGCGAAATGCATGTATGGTGCCCTTCAAGCTTCATAATCTCCCAATATTGATCTCTTGTACACAATATTGCTCAACATCTCCAATTGCATTGGTTATCAACACATTCAACAACATATCTACTTTGGTTTGAAATTTTCACCTTGTATGTGCAGTGATTGACAATGTGAAAGCGGTTGATGACATCTTGAACTTGTTCTTTTGTTATGAAATGTTGTCCAAGAAATAAAGTTCCTGCTGGAGAAACAAAAGACTCTCTATCTAACGCATGACCATACTCTGGCTCTTGTTGTTGAATGTAACTTTCAAAGTTAAGAAAATGTTGTGGTGGGTTGTATGGTTCCATGAAGTTTGGTGCATGTGTAAGGATATGTGATTGTTCGTCCTCTGAATCATCTTGTTGATGGCTTAGAATTTCATCTTTGTCTTCGTCCTCACTAAAAGGATCAACGACTTCAATTGGGAGGCCACCAATTTTGTTCTCTTGTGTGGGTAGTTCTTCGTTGATGTTGGTGGAAGACTCAATTAGAAGTTGGGTAAAAGGGATGTAGTCATTATGTGTGGGTGTGTTTGGGAAAACTTGGTAAGGTGAGGGTGAGATTTCATATGAGTGTGTGTTGGGGTATGAAGAAGAAGAAGTTTTAAATGTAACAAAAATTTCAATACCACATAAACTTGAGTTTGAATCATGAACATCGAACATGACCTCCACGTCATCATCATCTTTCAACTCAATAACAATGAAGTTGTTGATCCCAACTCCGAGTCTAGTTGGGCAGCGGAAATGGATGGTTGCTACATTTTCATGGGGTTCTTTCTCCAATTTCTTGTGGATCAACTTCTTCAACCTTTATAGAGAAATTCCTCTCTTTAAAGGAACAAGTTTTGCAGTCCTAATATTCAAGGTATCTCCCTCCATGGGACATGGGTTCATGGAATCATCATAGTGGACAATAGTAGACACTACACCCATTTTAGGAGTGTGGAACAAAAAGAAGACTAAAGGTAAGAAGAAGAAAGAATGCAAAGAGCTTCAAAGATTTAGAAGTGTGCAATGTGAGAACTTCAAAGAATGAAAGTGGTCTATTTATAAGGAAGTCCAATGGTTTGAATCCAAGGCTCCCTCACATGGCTTCTGACGCACACAAAACCCAAGCAAAATGGGTGGGTCAACATCTCTTTAAATGTGCTTGGATTTTTCTGCTTTTGTCTAACCGAATGCAGGGAATCCAAGATTGGAATCTTGACTTGGGTGGGTGACTCAGCATTGGATTCATGACTTGTGTGCATCAGAAAGGCATGAGAATCCTGACTTGGGTGGGTGACTTACCATTAGATTTCTTACTTGTGTGTGTTAGAAATTATATTAGGAGGTGCTGTTTTGGGAAATTTTTTTAAAAAATTTATTAATTATGTAAAAAGGTCGCAAAATAATCGATCATAATTTAAAATAATCGATTATTTTAAAATTATAATCGATTAGTTTAGCTTATAATAAATTATAAATAGTTGCAGGTTTTCTCGCTCAAGCGATGGATTTCTCGCTTGAGCGAGAGTTTACCATAGACTAAAGGTCCAACAAAGTTAGTCACATAATGTAACTTGAGTCACCACATATTTCAATCACTTCTCGCTCAAGCGAGAGTTGACCATAGACTAAAGCTCCAACGCAGTTAGCCACATAATGCAACTTGGGTCACCACATATTTCAATCACTTCTCGCTCGAGCGAAATTATCCATTGCTTGAGCCAACAAACACCCGAGATTACCCATTAGTTTCAAGTCTCCTCGCTCAAGCGAAGGATTTCTCGCTTGAGCGAGAGAGAAATAATTGATTATAATTTTAAATATTTGATTATTTTAAAATTATGATCGATTGGTTTAAATTATAATCGATTATAAATTTTCTTGCTCAAGCGATGGATTTCTCGCTTGAGCGAGAATTGACCACAAGCTAAAGATCCAACGCAGTTAGCCAATCACTTATCGCTCGAGTGAAATTACCCATCGCTTGAGCGAAAAAACACCCGAGATTATCCATTAGTCTCAGGTATCCTCCCTCAAGTGAAGAGTTTCTCGCTTGAGCGAGAGAACTTCTCACTCGAGCGAGAATTACATCGCTTGAGCAAAATTAAACCCCACAATACCCGTTAGTTTCAGGTCTCCTCGCTCAAACGATGAATTTCTCACTTGAGCAAAAGTACCGTGAACAATAAAAAGTGTTAGTTGGGTAAATAATGTTCCGGATGTACTATTTTGAAAAATATTTTAAAAAATAGTATTATTTATGAAAAAAAGTCGATAATGACAGTCCATAATTTATATTAATATTTATAATTTTTATCTTCTAAATTTAATATTAATAATTTTAATTTACATATAATGGAATTCTTAGCCAACACATAATACTTCTAAAACTATCACTATATCATTTTTAACAAATAAAATGCTTGTGTTGTTCATTTTTTAAATTAATTAAATTTTGAAAACAATCACTGTAACATGTATTTAAAATTGACAAACTTGATTGAACTTTTTTATTAATAAAAAAACAAATAACAAGATAAAAATTTATTAAATCATTTTAATTTAAAAATGTTTTCATTTATTTCCTTACAAAGTGAAATGTAATTGCATTTATTTATCACTTAAAAATAAAAAATATGTTTTATTCCATAAAAGTAAATAAAAAATTTATCACACGACTTTGATGAGGAAATGTGTGATAAATTTAAAAATTATTACAAAATTAGATACCACAATTTTTTTATTTTTTATTTTTACATTGCTACATATGAAAATAATACCATCACAAATAAATACATATTTGTCATAAATTTATTATTTGAATTAAAATTTTATTTTGTCATAAATTGTGACATATTACTTATCACAAAAATCATAATCATTTAACTAAATATTAAATGGAGAAACATATCACCTACGCTTAGATAAGAAATATTTTATTCCAAGTGAATCTAACTTAAGTAAAAATTTGAGTGGCTTAAGCAAAACAACTTTTAAGCAAATATTTTAAGCTTTAAACAATGAAAAAACATGTATTTTATAATATATATTATAATTTTAATTCAAATTACTTTTAGTTAGTTTTTTATTATGAAAATTAAATCAACAAATTGGTTGTGAAATTTTCTAACCGGAAGTAACTCACCCCAAGCTTAAGAATGGGAAGGTTAATAAAATAGCAGTATGAGAAGACTGAGTCAACTCAAATCAAACCCACCACCACTCTCATTCAGACATTCAAACTCACCTACCCAATATTAAGTTGGTGAAAAGAAATTACTCAACCAAATTTCATAAAGGTTTTGCGTAGGGTGTGAGTCATATTCATGTCTTCAAATAAATTTCCACTCAATAAACACAAGAGTAATATCCTAGCCAATAATTTGTTTTTAAATTAATTTTTATACAGTTGTCAAGTATTACGAGTTCCAATTATTTTTCATTTTATTCTATTTGTAAAAAAATGACTCACTTAGGATATTTAGATTTAAAATCTTATAAGAAATTTAGAAAATTAATAATAAGGTGGATTAGAAAGTGGTGAAAGTTGTATAGTTGAGCAAAATTTTAGAAACGTTTCTCATGCTATAAAACTCTGATTGAGTTGATTCAAAAATAAGGTGAAAGTTCTCATTCTAAAATTTCAATTTAAGCTAAAAAATACTCAATTTGAACGAGTAAAACAAAAGTTATAACCATGAAATAAATCTAAGTAGAATTGAGTTTTATGGTTTATGGTGAAAAAATGATAAGAGGTGAATTTAAAAGGCCGAATGAAAGAATCACTCTTCCCAAAGGAGACAACTTAAAAAAAGGATGTGAAAGTCCTTTGATATAACCAAGAGTTTTTTAACCACTCAAGAACTTAGGAGAATCACTCTCACCAAGATAAAATAGTTAAACTCTAATATTTCTGAATAAAACTCTTTTTAGATAAAAATGGTTTAACTTATATAAAAACTTTGTCATCAAAGTTACACAAATTCAATAAACGAAAATAAATGCTAATAATGATCCATTAATCTAGGAATTGAAAACTACTTAATAAAGACAAATAAATGCTAATAATGATCTATTAATCTAGGAATTAAAAACTACTTAATGGAGGTAAATAAATGCTAATAATGATCCATTAACCTAGGAATTGAAAACTATGGAGATTGTAATTGAAATTGTGACAACCAAAAGTCAATCAACTATCTACCTTCTTGGTCTCCCAAAGGTTGATACGTAAGTTTCTAATTAGACCCTTATTACAACTTGAAACAAAACCAAAATAAAGCTCATTAATTGATTAACCCAAAACATAATTTTGTTAGCCAATTTTACAAAGGATTTGGTCATTATTTAAACAAACTTAAAGACTGAAACAAAGTGACGCATTAGTCTTTCTCCATTTTTGTTATGATGCAATTCACAACTTTGGTCCTTTTACCTTAAATATGAGCTTGTATTTAAATAATATGAACAACACTTGTTGAAGTTTATTTCTCTTGTTCTAACCGTTGTCATAGTCCTCCAAATCTTTCAATTGGATCTTACCATTGTTCATGGTCATGTCCCCATCAAATAAGAATTCTTATAAATATAAATATAAATATAAATATAAATATAAATATAAATATAAATATAAATATAAATATAAATATAAATATAAATATAAATATAAATATAAATATAAATATAAATATAAATATAAATATAAATATAAATATAAATATAAATATAAATATAAATATAAATATAAATATAAATATAAATATAAATATAAATATAAATATAAATATAAATATATATATATATATATATATATATATATATATATATATATATTAAAGTTTGAAAAATATAATAAAAATAAGTGTTGGTTTAAAATTTTCTATATTTTTGCTGATTTTAATATAGTTAATCAGTAGTTTCATTATTTATTTTTTATTCAATTTGATCTTATTTACTTTCTAATCGAGTTTTCTAATTAAAAAAAACAACAACAATATAACAACTTTTCATCTAATTAACAATAAAATTATTAAAACTAAATATTAATAATTTTAAGCTACATATAATAAAATTTATATAGCCTACACATAACAATAATTATAAAACTAACTATATGAATTTTAACAAATGAAATGGTTACATTGTTAAGTTATTTTTTTTAATTAATGAAATGAAAAAAAAATCACTGTAACATCTATATAAAATTGAAAAACTTGATTGAACCTTTTCATCAATAAAAAATAAATAAATATAAAAAGTGTATTAAACCATTTTAATTTCTCTAGAATTTAAATTAATAGATTCACTCTCGCTTATGCTAAAAGAAGGAACGCCGAACAGATAAAGATGGGAAAATCTTTTTCTAAAAAATATTTTTTAAAACAACAAAAAATATTATACCATTTTTTTATCCGTTTTGGATAAAAAAAATAATCAATTTAATCCTTACACCATTAAATTGTTGAATTATTTATAATAATAAATTTAACAGTATTAATTGGTAGATCACTTATAAATTTGGTGTGAATAAGTTCATATTAATTTTTAATAATCTACTTATAATGCTAAAAAATATTTTTAATCTCTTACTTATTTTATAAACAACGTTCTTTTTCATTTCTTATAATAAAATATAATCAATAATTTTAAAATTATAAACGAATTACAGATTATATTTCATATGTGTTTTAAAATAAAAATATATTCTTTCTGTTTCTAAATAAATATTATTTTTTTAAATTTTTATCTTGCTTTATTTATCATTTTAAAATATTAATTATTTTTTACCACCTTTACTTTTTTAGAAGTTGAAGAAGAATTAAAATAATGAATTGTAATATACTTAACTACATTAATCTACTACATAAATAGATTGTAATTTGTATTATTATGATGCACAATCTATTATTTTTCATCTTTTTTATTTAATTTTTCAATGGTCAATAAAATTTGTTTAATTAAAAAAAATGATAAAAATACAATGAATCTAATAAAAAATAATTAAATAAAATTATAAAGTTATAATAATTCTATGTTATATTATGAAGCGAAATATTTTCTTTTGGAAAAGAAAAATCTTGTTATAATATTATTTTAAATCAAAATATTAAAATTTTTAAGATTATAAATCATAAAAGAAATTTTATTTAACAAACGATTCATGTTGTCGTATTATCTTCTTTGAAAAGAAGACAGCAAATATTTCATTGTAAAAATAAAAAAAATTATTGTAAACAATTTTAGTGAAAAAAAGAATAATAATATTATTAAAATAATATTAAAAGTTTAATATTAATTATGAAAACTAATATATTCATTAATTTTTATGAATCTATTTTGAATTACAAATATTTAGAATATATATATATATTCTTTTAAAAAAATATATTTCTCATTTCGGATCTATTTCTCATTTTCGTAATTTCTGCGCTACTTCTCGTATCCATTCAATATAAGCTGTTCGTTGTAAGGTCCATATGTTACACAAGAATTACTGGTAAAAACTTTGAACATTGAAGGGAGGGAAGATTCTAGTCCACTGGAATCTGAAGAGTTCAAGGTACTTGAGCTTCTTTTCTCTGGTTTATGTTATGGTTTTTCTTCTTTAATTATTTATTAAATTCTAAGATGCTATTTTCCATAAGGACAAGAGCATCCATCACTCTTCAAATGTGCTGCCAAATTGATATATATATAGTTTGGTAATTTTGGATACAGAAAAAAGAAGTCCCTGGAAGCAGTGCAGAAGTCCAGCAACAGAACTTGAAATTATTGGAGAAGAAAAGCATGAGGAATTTTCTTATGAATGGAATTTGCAAGGTTTTTGGAGTGAAAAGAAGTAGGAACGATGACGTGGAAAATAATTCTTCCAAAGTGATTGAAGAAAACGAAATGCAAACTACAGAACAACCCACTGTTGAAGAAGTTGAAGCACATGGTAAGCTTTTATCACAGAAAACATACAAATCAATAAAAAATAATAATTCTGAGTCAGCATGGGAAGAGATAAAGAAAGAAGATAAAATTTTTGAGCAGAAGAGCCCTAAGGGAAACACGATGCTGCACATAGCAGCTCTCTATAAAAATGATAACCTTGTGAGAAGGGTAGTTATGATTCGTCCAGACCTTTTGGATGAAAGGAACGATGATGGTGATACACCACTGCATCTTGCTGCAAGAGCTGGTCATGTCTCCACTCTTGGTATACTGTTTCCTGCACTTCTCCTTAAATTTAGATGTCACTCATCTTCTAAACTGGCTTTGGATGAAATCCTAGTAAGAAATCTGCAAGGAAATACTTTCTTTCATGAGGCCTTACTAAATGGTCACAAAGATGTAATGAACATATTGGCTTCTCCACAAGAACGAGAGATTGAAGGTGGCTTCATGGAATTGGTTGAGGAAACTGTGTATGGTTGGACAGAAGAAGGGCAACACAAATCAGTTTTGTGCACGGCAATTGAGAAAGGGTTCAAGGACATTGTTGATCGAGCCTTGAACAAAATTATTCCGAACAGAGGTACGATGGTGCTACCTACCTTTAAATTTATTTATTCTTTTCATTTTTCTTACTCTGTTTTCCTTAATTTCACAATCATTTGGTGCGGGAATGATGAGCATATATTGTGCTGCAAATATTTTATGGTGCTGAAAAACAATATGATAGATTTGTAAAATCATTGAAGATATTTTCAAAGTAATTTTATGCCACAAAACCCAGCAAGTTTAGAAAAGCAGTTGTTTAAGATTTCTAGTAAATAAATCAAAATTTAGCACTTTCAAACACCGGATTCTATCTTAGTTTTTCCATTTTATTATGAGAAAATGTTTTGAATATTAATTTTAAAAACATATTTAAAATAAGTAATTGAAAATATTGATTTAAAAACTAATCATTTTTATTATTACATTAAATTCAAAATTTATTATTGTTATTATTAATTATTGCTAATTTCAATTTATGTTATTATAAGATTAATAAATTTAAATATTAATTTTAACAATTTTTTCATAAAATCTTTATTTTTTTTTCTAATTTTTAAATACTATTTAAAACGTTATTTACATGTATTACTAACAACCAAATGCTACTGATACATTAAAATAAAATAAGTACAAAAAATATTAAATTCTACATTAAAAATTATTTATTTAATGTGATAATTAATATTATTCTATTTCTATAAATTAATTTTTTTAGATGGATCTGGACTTTATTTATCTATGATCAACCCATATCAACATGTTATTTAATTGCTACCAGAAGATATTATATACATATCGAATTAGTTATTCATATAAAATATTTAATAATAATTGTACTTACCTCGAAAAATTATGTAAATATTACATTAAAATTAATCAAATATTCTAATATATAAGAAATGAAATAGAATGGGTTGAGAAGATAGTAGGGAAATATAAGAATTGTTATTTCAATGTTATTTGTTTTTATTTATAAAAGTTATTGTATTTTAATATGAAGATATGATTTTTTATATTACTAAATTATAAGAATTTTTTTAGATGGATCTGGGCTTCATTCATCCATGTTCAACTCCAGCACCCAGGCCTACCAAGAAGAGGGGTTACAATCACGTAAGAATAACAATGTTCAATAAATTCTTATTATAATGGATACGTTAATATTTTTTTTATTAATAATTAAATTAAATATTAATAATATATCAAAATTATTTGATTTTTTAAAAGATTAACAGACTAAATTTGTAATTAAAATTTTATAGAGATAAATTTTATACATTTACGAAAATACCGAAACTTTTTCTGCTCTTTTGAAGACTGAATTTCATCTTAATTTTCCCATTTTATTATAAGAAAATGTTTTGAATATTAATTTATAAAAAATATTTAAAATTATTAAATATTACATTAAAATTAATCAAATATTCTAATATATAAGAAATGAAATAGAATGGGTTGAGAAGATAGTAGGGAAATATAAAAATTGTTATTTCAATATTATTTGTTTTTATTTATAAAAGTTATTGTATTTTAATATGAAGATATGATTTTTTATATTACTAAATTATAAGAATTTTTTTAGATGGATCTGGGCTTCATTCATCCATGTTCAACTCCAGCACCCAGGCCTACCAAGAAGAGGGGTTACAATCACGTAAGAATAACAATGTTCAATAAATTCTTATTATAATGGATACGTTAATATTTTTTTTATTAATAATTAAATTAAATATTAATAATATATCAAAATTATTTGATTTTTTAAAAGATTAACAGACTAAATTTGTAATTAAAATTTTATAGAGATAAATTTTATACATTTACGAAAATACCGAAACTTTTTCTGCTCTTTTGAAGACTGAATTTCATCTTAATTTTCCCATTTTATTATAAGAAAATGTTTTGAATATTAATTTATAAAAAATATTTAAAATTATTAAAACATTAATTTAAAAATATAATTACTTTATATAATAAAAATAATTGTATTATTATATTAAATTTATTTATTGTATAATAAATTAAAACATTTTTTAAATTAATAATCAATTTAATAGTTTCTTAATTTTATTACAACATTGAAATTATGATTTATGTTTAAATTATTAAATCAATATTAAATTTAATATTTTACATTTATTAGTTTTATATTAACATAAATTTAAATTACTGATTATGATTAAGTATTATTAAATTAATAATATTAATTTTATTAATTCTTTAATTAATATATTAAAAAATTTATTAAAAAAATGGTATTAATAACATTCTTCAACAAATTCTAATACATGTTATAAAATTAATCCTATATCTATCTCTTTATATATAAAAAGAAATGATATACTTAAACAGTTTTACTATAAAATTTTATTTTTTTTTCTAATTTTTAAATTATATTTAAAACCTTATTCACATATATTACAACAAGTAAAGGCTACGTTACACTTGAATAAGTACAATAAAAATAGTAAATTCGACATTAAAAAAAGCCAAGACTGTTTAATATGATCATTAATATTTTTATATTTGTATAAATTGATTTTAAAAGATTAAAATTATTAAAATTTTAAAAAATCATTAAAGAAAATATCTACTTACTAATTTACTTATAAAATATTACTGATATATTTATACATTTATAATATAATTTCATATAGATTTATAAATATATTTGTAATAGTAGTTTTAGTATTAATAAAAAAGGTTAAAATTTATTAATAATAATAAATGTAAATTAAGAATAATAATAATTTTTTTAAAATTAATAATAATCAATTTACTAATTTTTTTAATTTTATTATAACATTAAAATTGTTATGAATGTTTTAAATTATTAAATTTAAATTTAATATTTTACATTTATTATTTTTATATTAACATAAATTTAAATTACTAATAATGATAATAATAATTTTAAGTATTATTTAAATTTAGCAATAATAATTTTATTTAATTATTTATTTAATATAACAATAAAACCATTTTATGATATAAAATAATTAAATTAATATTTTAAATCATTTTTTAAGTTATTACTTTCTAATAAATAGTCTTTATAACATAAAAAAATATTAAAAAAGAACTTCAACACTTTAGTTTGAATATTAAATAGTCATTTTAAATCATTTTTTAAAATATTAAATAGTCATTTTAAATCATTTTTTAAGGTATTATTCTTAAAGAGGTTGAATAAGTTTTACAAGATGGATGTAACATTCTTTCAAATCTGATGTGTTAGAGAGGGGGTGTACAAAGAACTTCAACACTTTAGTTTTTAGATATTAATAAATGTACATATAACGTATATTTTAAAATTTTTATCTATTTATAATTTTTTTAATGGACACACATCTACTATCTCTTGATTATAGGTTTAAGATAATCTTAATCATATTAATTTGTGTAGTAAACTAATTATTTAATTAATTTAAAAATTATGATTAATATTTTTTAAGAAATTATGTACGTGAATCGAGATATTTTTGACATATTAACTATACATTAGTCTTCTTTCAAGTCCTACTAAATAGAGAAAGATTAAATAAAGAAGAACTTATTATTTAAAAAAATTCTCACGTATTATTTTATATGTGCATTTACTTCAAGTTTAAAGCGTGTTCAGCGATAAAGAGTTTTTAGTTTTTGAAGAAAGTTTTTATTTCTTTTGTCGATATGTTCTCGACATAATATTTACATATTGTATTCAGTCTTAAAAGAGTGTAAATGAACAAAAAAAATTTAATATTTAAAAGAAAATTTTCACTTTTTTGCTTAACATGTTTCGGACATACTTTCAATACACAAACCCTAGACTCAATGAGTGGCAAGTTACAAAAAATATATATATTTTTTTAAGAAAAAACTCATTTCTAAGCTGAGGTGATATAGCTGAGATGATAAATTTTGCTCAAAAGATATCATTCTAGAATGAGTGAAACATCCTTAATCTTGATGATGAGATCAAGATGATAACTTTTGTTCGATAGTTCAAGATAATAAGACCTAAATAATGAGACCAAGATGATGATGCATAATGATGATTTTGGTTGCAAAAAAGATCTTTAGATTGAGTGAAGTATCCTACGTCAAGATAATGAAATATGATGATATAAATATTAATGAGATATAGGAGTGAATAAGTGAACTATTATTCATAGTGTCTCGTTAAAATCTCATCGGGCAAAACCTTCTTTAGGGATAAAATACCATCCCTACCAGTGGTTGAAAAAAAAGGAATGTATGAATACAATGATTAACTAAAATAAAAGTTCAAAAGCTTACATTACATGTCCTCATTATAGATTACTTAAACTCTATGCATAAGCTTTGTTTTATAGTAGTTGGACAATCCAAAATTGCCTCTCCCAAATGAACAAGAACTTATACTTTGATGGGTCTTAATTTATGTTTCTCTTTACTCAACATATAAGGTCTCATTGCGCAAAGGTTGTAAGCTTCATCTTGTTGTTATTACTTTGTGTGTCTCTTTCTCTTTGCATGTTTTTCTCATATTTTCGTCTTGTTTATTAATCCTTTAAGAGGTGGGCCACAATAATCCTCTGGTTTCATTTGGAGTTGACCTTTTACCTTTCTCTCGATCGAAACTCCTTTTTGGCCATCACTTTAATTCTTTCAATTCTTTAAGCTACATAAACATAGTAGTTCTTCGTGTCAAATCATCTTAAGTTTGCTACTGACTTCTTGCATAGAATGTAGAAAGGTCCCAACCTCAATATCATCACCCATGGAGTGCAAATTTTAGGTTTAGGTTACAAATATTTAGGGTAATTTTTCTAAATCTCTCCACGAACTTCCTCACAAATTCTCTTTAATCTTATCAGATGTTGAACAAGGTGATGTAGGTCAAATGATGTGGTGTTGAATTATTGGTAAGCGTACCAAAATTATCAATCACAATATAGTATTTCGATTAAATAAAAGTCGATCCTACAAGGAACAGTTTCAATGAAAATTCCCAATTATATATTTACTAAATGGATTAAAACAAAATGGCACTTAGGATTAACTTCCTTC